GGGCGGGCTCCGTTCCGCCGGCCGCGCCGGTGCCCGGGCGGCTCCGCGGGGACGGGGCGGGCGACGGGGAGGCGCGAGGCCGGCAGCGGGTGTGCGGGTGGCAGCGGGTGTGGGAGCGGGTGGGCGTGCGAGAGGGTGTCAGGGGGTGTACGGTTGTGCGAGAGGGTGTCAGGGTGTGCGAGGGTGTCAGGGTGCGTGCGGGTGTGCAAGGGTGTCAGGGTGCGTGCGGGTGTGTGAGGGTGTCAGGGTGTGTACAGGCGTGCGTGCGGGTGTGCAAGGGTGTCAGGGTGCGTGCGGGTGTGCGAGGGTGTCAGGGTGTGTACAGGCGTGCGTGCGGGTGTGTAGGGGTGTGCGTGAGGGTGTCAGTGTGTATGGGCCTGTGTGAGGGTGTATGCGCGAGGCTGTGAGGTGCGGGTGTGCACGAGGGTGTGGGGGTGTGTGGGTGCGCACGAGGGTGCACATGTTGTGTGTGTGTGTGTGTGTGTGTGTGCACAAGGGTGTGAGGCTCCGCACGAGGCTGCGCACGGGTGTGCACACAGGTGTGTGTGTGCACAGGGGTGTGTGAGGCTGTGCACGGGTGTGCACACTGTGTGTGCGTGTACGGGTGTGCACAAGGGCGACACGGTGCACATGGGTGTGTGTGACTGAGGGTGTGTGTGAGGGTGTATGCACGGGGGTGTGAGGTACAGGTGTGCACGAGGGCGTGCACGAGTGCAGGTGTGCAGACGGGGTGTGCACAAGGGTGTGAGGCTCCGCACGAGGCTGTGCACGGGTGTGCACACTGTGTGTGTGTGTGCCCAGGGGTGTGTGAGGCTGTGCACGGGTGTGCACACTGTGTGTGTGTGTGCACAGGGGTGTGTGGGGCTGTGCACGGGTGTGCACACTGTGTGTGTGTGTGTGTGCACAGGGGTGTGTGGGGCTGTGCACGGGTGTGCACACAGGGGTGTGTGTGTGTGTGTGCCCAGGGGTGTGTGAGGCTGTGCATGGGTGTGCACACGGTGTGTGTGTGCGCACAGGGGTGTGTGAGGCTGTGCACGGGTGTGCACACTGTGTGTGTGTGTGTGTGCGCACAGGGGTGTGTGGGGCTGTGCATGGGTGTGCACACGGTGTGTGTGTGTGTGTGCGCACAGGGGTGTGTGAGGCTGTGCACGGGTGTGCACACGGTGTGTGTGTGTGTGTGCGCACAGGGGTGTGTGAGGCTGTGCACGGGTGTGCACACAGGTGTGTGTGTGTGTGTGCACAGGGGTGTGTGGGGCTGTGCATGGGTGTGCACACAGGTGTGTGTGTGTGTGCACAGGGGTGTGTGGGGCTGTGCATG